CTTTGAAAGCCCACCTTAAATTTTTTTTTGAGAAATAATTCACATATGTTTATCATTTTAATGTGTAAACTTCAGTGGTTCTAGTACATCTACAATTTTTTGTGCAACTGTCATCTCTACCTAATTCTAGAACATTCCTGCCACCCACAAAAAAGCCCTCTACCCATCAGCAGTCACTACCCACTCCCCACTCCCCCTAGCCACTGATAACCACTACTTTATGTCTCCATGGATTTCCTTCTTCTGGACATTTTGTATCAATGGCATCATATCATATGTAGCCTTTTGTGACTGCCTGTCTCACCTAGTATAATTTTTTCAAGATTCATCCATGTTGTAGCATTTATCAGTTTTTCATTCCTCTTTATGGCTGAATAATATTCTATTGTATGGATACATAACATTTTGTTTATACTTTCATCAGTTAATGGACATTTGCATTGTTTCTATTTTTTGGTTATTAAGAATAAAACTGCTAGCAGGTGCCTGGGTGGCTCAGTCAGTTAAGCGTCTGCCTTCGGCTCAGGTCATGATCCCGGGATCCTGGGATTGAGCCCCACGTCGGGCTCCCTGCTCGGTGGGGAGTCTGCTTCTCCCTCTGCCCCTGCCTGCCACTCCCCCTGCTTGTGCGCTCTCTCGCTCTGTCAAATAAATAAAATCTTTTTCTTTTTTTTAAGAATAAAACTGCTAGTAACATGTACTAGTTTTATTGTCGATATGTTTTCATTTCTCTTGGGTATATACCTAGGAACTGAACTGCTGGATTGTATCATATCACTATGTTTGACTTTTTGAGAAAATGTGAAACTCACTTCTCCACATTCTTGACCATACTTTGTTATTTTCTTTAAAAAAAAAACTATAGGGGTGCCTGGGTGGCTCAGTTGGTTAAGCGTCCGACTCTTGATTTTGGATCAGGTCATGATCTCAGGGTGGTGAGATGGAGCCCTGTGTCAGGCTCCATGCTCAGCAGGGAGTCTGTTTAAGATTCTCTCCCTCTGCCCCTCCCCCAACTCATGTGCATGCTCTCTTTCTCTCAAAAATAAGTAAACCTTAAAAAAAAATTATAGCTATCCTAGTGGGCACTGTACATATTTTTCTTCTGTGAATTCATCTCTGACTCTTTCTCTTTCCAGAAAGAACCAACACCTTTTTTTTTCTCTCCTCTCACAAGAATGAATAATACAGTAATTATAAGGATAGCTAATTTTGGAGACTTTGTGGTTGCTAGGTATTATGCTATGTGCTTTACATGTGTGAGCTCATTAAATCCTCATATGATCTTCTGTGAAGTTGGTGTTAATAGTTCTATTTTATGTATGAGGAGGGCACAGAGAGAGAGAGAGAAAGAGTAAATTGTCCAGAATCTTGCACCAGCAAGAGTGAAAGCTGGAATTTCAATTCCTGGGCATATTTGACCCCAAAGCCAATGCTTTGAACTATTTGGCTTTTAAAAAAAATAGAAGCTATTAATATTAAATTCTTTTATAGGGGCCACCTGGCTGGCTCTGTCAGAGGAGCGTGCAATTCTTGATCTTGGAGTTATGAGTTCAAGTCCCATGATGGGTGTAGAGAATATATACATACATACATACATACATAGACTTAAAAAAAAAGCAAGGTTTAAAAAAAATAAATTCTCTTCTTTTAGAGCAGGCCCATGCAGTCCAATTAGAACTAGCAATGTGGAATATTATCCCTAGTTTACTCAAGAGTACTTCTACAAAGTCCAGTCAACAGTTCTCATTTTTCCCTTCAGGGTCTTTTTTTTTTTTTTTTTTTTAAGATTTTATTTATTTATTTGACAGAGAGAGAGCACAAGCATGGGGAGTGGCAGGCAGAGGGAGAAGCAGGCTCCCCACTGAGCACAGAGCCTGATGCGGGACTCCATCCCAGGACCCAGGGATCATGACCTGAGCCGAAGGCAGACACTTAACCGACTGAGCCACCCAGGCACCCCTCCATCCAGGGTCTTACAAAATAAAAAGCAAACTGTCCCATTCCAAAAGCTCTCATCATACCCAGCATCTAAAACCCTGCAGTGTCATCTGTTCATCCCCAGTCATTGACCCATCCTGTCATGCAAATAGAGGTGCTTTTTAATTTCACCTTTGAATTTGATCTTGAAGAATATTCGGAATTCATTGAACACACATTAACGTGTCTTTTCCAGTTGACTTGTGCCATAAAGATATTCTGTTCTCTCTACTGATTTTTTCTCTTTTTGGGAAAGAAGAGAATTCAAGATACCACTTCACTGCTAGGAAAATCTTTGTCATTTTTTTTTTCTTGTGCTTATTTTTCATCACACACAAACCCTAATTATTTTGTTACTGGGTGTCTCCTGGTGGGTGGGCATAGGCTGTACCACTTATTAGAGATGTGTGTGTATCTATATTTGTATATATAGATATATTTTACAATGATCACAATAATGATATGAGGCGTGTTTTACTGTCACCAGTCTATAGTTAAACCAATAAAAGTGTAGAGAGATTAAGAAACTCACCCAAAATCACACCTGTAATAGTAAATCTGCAGTAAAAGGCCTGTCTAAATTATTTGACCATGAAACCCTCCCCCCCCACATTTAAAAAAACAACACTTCTATAAATAATTCAAGAGTCTGTGTACTACAGTCTCCCCGCCCCCCATCTTTGTCATCCCTGCAAAGCCTTCCCGGAAGGAGCTAATCACTTCCTCCTCCTTGCTGCCCTGGCCACAGTGTGTCATGGCATTTAGGATGCTGTGTTGTAATTTGCTTGTTTGCATATCTGCCTCTTTCTGAGGGCAGGGTCCATGTCTTATTTTCTTTGTGTCTTCAAGTGATACTTAAAATCTAACAGGGGTCCCATCAATGTTTATTGATTTGAATATCCGTCATGGCCACAGCTGACACATGCACGCTACTCAGAACCCCAGCTAGGGAGAGCAATGCACATCGCTCTGAAACAGGGGTGAAGAAAACATCAATCCCCAGTGTCTCCTGGGATAAAAATCCAACATACATGGAAGTATCTTTAGTTAAAGGCACTCTATGGGTTAGTGTGGGCTTTGGGGTGGTATGTGTTCTCACCAAATAAATCTGCCAAGATGGCAGAGTCAACTGATTTGAGTGAGCGTGTGTCAATAAGGCTTAAAAAAAGACACTCATATGCCATCTTGCCTTTAAAAAATTCTTTTCTATCCAAAAATGTTGTTTTCTTCTCATGCTTTGATCCAGCAGCAGAAGATTGCTTATTCTGGTTCTGGATAAAGCTGGGGCAAAACTATGTTGGGCTTCCTCCCTTCAGTTCTGTGCTGGCAATTCCTTTTATTGTCCATATCCCTCTTCTGGTCCACTGGTCCATGACCTGATTCCCTTCTCCCCCCGTCAAACTCTGCCTTTGTGTCAGTTTGTTTCTGTATTTGCTATCAAAAAATATTTTGGGGGGTACCTTGCTGGCTCAGTCAGGGAGGATGTGGCTCTTGATCTTGGGGTCATGAGTTCAAGCCCCACAATGGGCACAGAGCTTGCTTTAAGAAAATATTTTAGGTCACTGACCCTTCTCTTTTCATGACACCTATCAGTAGTACATATCTGTGTGAATTAATGCAATATCCCCAAGAAGAAGGACATTTGACAGAGGTCAACTGATGGTCCTCAGATCATATAAGAAGATGACAACTAAACCCAGAATCCAGATTTCCTGATCTGTTTTGCCCTAGTTTTCACTCTCACTGTATGTTTAATTGTTATTGCTAAAGCTTCATGTGTTACCCTTGTCGCCCCTAAAGATTTAGAGAGAGACCTGAAAGGTTTTCTTTTCACAAGACATTAAGGGAATGGAAATTGTGAAGAAAGCTGTGAAGAACCTCCAAGTTCTATTCATTATTTGCCCAAATTGCTAGGTTAAGTACACAGGAAAGGGTAGTAGTCTTCCTACTTCCTGAGAGTGGACTCAGTTCATCTGAAGAGGCCATTCTCTGTCCATCCTTGAGATGCATGCAGCTGGTGACCTCATCTTTCTCTGAGCAAGTGTGGCCATGACTGAAAGGGCAGACACCCCCCAGGGAGCAGGCAGGCGGGCCAGGATGTGGGGAGGGTGATTCAGCAGGTAACAGCAGTTCCTTTCATGCCACCCTGCAGGAACGCCCAAGGGGCTCACCCTCTCAGACAAGTTTCAGAGGAGAGAGACCAAACTCCTAGTTGCCCGTGATGTTTTTCTCAAAGATGAATTTTGTTTCTTCTTTTAGGAGGAACAGTTGGTATCCTGATTCGCATAAATCAGAAAATTCCTTATGAATTTGATCGTGGCAAATGGATTCCTTTTTTGTTGTTGTTGTTATGAAAAGGACTGACCAGAAACATCCCAATTTAATTTCAGCTCCTGATAAAATATCGGGGGTGGCAGGTGAAGGACCCCCAGTGTGCAGCAGACTCCGGGGTTCCCAGCACATGTGTGTTGAGGGAGCAGAAGAATGGAAATTTTTGAAAGAATCTCTTTTTGAACTTCCTTAATCTACTCTGAGTTTAACAAGCGTAAAAATATGATGTTTTACCGAAACCTAAATATCACTGCTGATCTAAAAGCTTGTAATAAATGAAATTAATTAGAAATGAGTTGATGTCCTTTTCCTTACTGCTGGGCACTTGGATCACAGGGATTGAAATGTTGTTCCTATGAAGCATATGTTAAAGTGCGTTTTTTCCTCTCGCAGTGAGTATTTTTAGACCGGACATTAACATGCAAATTATATGGATTAAGCTCTCCCCCACCCAACCCCCCCCCCAACCTTCTTAATAGCCTGTGAAAAGTCAGACCACAAAGGCACAAAGACGGTCTTATTGCTTTTAACCTTTGAGGAAAGGGGCTGCGCCTACCACTCAGAGTTTACTTGGGTATCAAACTCAAAAACATACCTATGGTTCCAAGAGGCCTGGCCAGATACACACTCCCACACGCATGCCGCGGTGCTCTTTGGACTCTGCTATGGAGACGGCCTGGAAATTAACGACACAGACGGAGAAGGACACAGAGGGGGACAGGGATTTCTGAAATGTCAGGGACTCCCTCCTGGGAGCACTTTCCTAACAACTTGTCAGGGGCTTTCTCTGTGGCACTGAAGCTGGATTTTCCCACAGGTAAACTGGGTATTCAGTGCATACTACCGATCTCTGCTTTTCTTGGAAGCCCTAGTGTGTGATCTGGAGCCCAAGTGGGGCTCGGGGGTGTCACCCGATGTTGGTTACTTCAGCTTGAAGGCCCTGGACTAGTGCTGGGTGTCGAGGGAGGTGAGGTCTGGTGCTTCCAACAGTTCCTGGGTCCCAGCCTCACCTGTTTCCAAAGGGAGAAATCTGATTCCTGTCATTTCCCTGCTTTAAAACCAACTTCAGACCTTGATTACCCATAGACAAAGTCTAAATGATTTAGTATTGCATGAAGAATCTCAAGAAACTGGTTCCAACCTATGTTTCCTTTCTCCTTTTTTGACACTCATGACTTGTTTGCCCCAAGGACCCTATGTAGTCAGCCATCATAAACCTGGACAAACCTTCCCGGACCCACCTGCTCTACTGACTGAGCCTGGCAAACTTGTCCATGGAACCCACACGACTGTTAGCCATTGCCCAACTCCCCCGAGACTTACGTAAAATCTTTATTGTGACAACTTATTCCATTAGAGCTTGATTAATTTCTTACATTTCTGAATCTTCTACAAGACTATGAACGCCTTCAAGGCAGGGTCTGTATCCATTTCTCTCTGAATTTCCATCTTCCACACAGGCCCTGGTAAGGGCAGAGTTATTTTGGTGCAAGACATACATATTATACTCTAGTCATAGAGAATTTGCTCCTGTCCTGGGGACACACAACTAAGAAGTGGCATGACCCCAGGGAGGGTCTGCTGGCCCTCCCATCTACTCTGCCTGGGATTTCATCTCTGTAGAAGGGTAGAAGTAAAATAAGGTTGAATTTATTTCCTCCCTGCAAATAATGTCAAGTCAAATAGGAAGGCGACGTTGAAACATTGAAACACGACTGCTGGAGTGGGAGTCAGTCAAATTGGATTCTTGCCCTACTCTGACACTACCTAGTTGTGCAACTTGGGAGAGATCACTTGGCCTCTCTGACCCTCAGTTTCTTCATCTACAAAATTAAGAATTTGTCCAGGGTAATATTATTTTATTTTTTTTATTCTTTTTTAAAGATTTTATTCATTTATTTGACAGAGAGCGCACAAGCAGGGGGAGCAGCAGAGGGAGAGGGAGAAGCAGACTCCCTGCTGAGTAAGGAGCCTGATGTGGCTCTGAGATCATGACCTGAGCCAAAGGCAGACGCTTAACCAACTGAGCCACCCAGGTGTCCCATGGGGTGATGTTATTTTCTAAGGCATATCCATAGTCGCCTATGGGGCAAAAGTCTTCAAGGAGGGGTTGAAGAAAAGGCAAAGTGAAAATGAAGTGGGTGATCCAGTTGTTCAGACACAAGGCGATTATGAAAGTGCCCAATACAGGCCTGGTGCAAAGAGTCCCCAAGAGATGAGAGGTTTATTCCTCCCTGATGCCTTTATTTCTACATCCCAGCATGGGAAGTTCTTCTTCCCTACCCTGCTACTGTGGGCAACCTTTGAGGAGGTAAGCACAAAGTAGTGGGAGGTGCTTCACAAATGTGGGCCTGTTATGGGTTGAATTGTGTCACCTAAAAAAGATATGTTGAAGTCCTAATCCCTAGTACCCCAGAATGGGACCTTATTTGAAAACAGGGCTATTACAGAGCTAATCAAATTAAAATGAAGCCATTAGGGGTGGGCCCTAATCCAATATGACTGGTGTCTTCATCAAAAGGAGAAATTCGGATGAAGAGACAGACACACAGAAGGAAGATGAGGTGAGGACTCACGGGAGGAAGATGGTTATGTGGCGGGGTTGATATTTGGCAAACACCAGAAGCTAGAAGCAAGGGAAGGTTCTCCCCTGGAACTGTCAGAGAGAGCCTGGCCTTGCCAAAGGCCTTGATTTTGGACTCCTATTCTCCAGAATTGTGAGCCGACACATTTCCGTTGTTCTAAGTCACCCAATTTCTGGCACTTTACTATAGCACCTCTGGGAAACGCATTGAGGATTCAGGCTGAGCGATGGGGGCTGCACAAGGGGGCATGTGTGTGTGTGTGTGTGTGTGTAGTTGTGTGTGCTGGGAAGTTGCTGCTGCTGCTGGAAGGTACTTCCATCATGGGCAGGTAGTGGATGGGCCCCTAGGAGACTCAGCCGACCCCATTCATCTAAAATGACTTAAACCCATTAGCAGATACTTCACCTTTCTTCCTCCTCTCTTTGCTCTTCTGTCTTTCTTTGCCTTACTGCAACTCACAAACCCTCCCTCACCTCCTCTCTGCATTGGCTCTTTTAAAAGGGACATTTTATTCTGCTGTTTACTTAGAAATGTTAGTACTACAAAATCTGGCCTGGTTGAAGAGGCCTCCAGTGAGGGAGGGAGACAGGCCTCCTGCTTGGAGGAGATTTGGGGAGGCTCAGATCCTGGTGGCACCAGTAAAAGGAAGCCAACTAAGGTAAACTTCTTCTTCTTCTTTTTTTTTTTTCCCCCAGTTCGTAAATCCTCCTTGTGAAATGGCATAATAGCTGCTGTATAAGAACTCCACTGAAATCCCCCCTCTGGAATCTTCGGGGCGCCTGACCTAACCCTCGCCCTCCGCACGGTGGAGGCCAGAGAGGCCTCCCTCTGTGTCCCTCATCACAGCTTTCCCCTGGATCGGGGCTGGGGCTGCTTGGCTTGAATGGAGGATTGTTCACTGGAGCCAGCGACCGGCAGAGCTGCCAGTCCCAACACTTAAAAAATACAGTACTGCTTTTAAAGTAGAGGAGAAGGGCATTGAAGCAAGGGCGCAGGGGTTCCTTGTCAAATACACTGCCCATCTGTCCCAGCTCTCCTTGGAGGGGAGGGCCGAGGCTTCCCGAGGCAGAGGAACAGTCAGTCCCCCGACCTCCACCGCCAAACCAGCAAGATTGGGGCGGGGATGGGGGAAGGAGGCCGGCTTCAGCTCCGAGCTCTCCAACAGACCATTTCCTGGGCCGATTCGAACTGATAGTTCCTTTCCCATGAGCTCACTCTCGACGCTGGCATTTACAGAGTAACTATGGCTGAGATGCGTGCCGCGGACATCTGGCATATGCTCCGAGTTCAGTGCTGGAAAGAGAGGTCGTTTCCGTGATTGAGATCGCGAAGGCTCTTTCGTACTCCATGAATTGGTCGAGAAATTATACCCATAATTTGTCTACTGGGACGAAATGTAATTATAGGATTAAATATTCACGTTTTAATTATTGGAAAGACATTCATTAGTGAACGATTATTGAGATATTTTCCATATAGAGTGAAATAGGAAAACCTAAAGAGTGAAGCTTCTCTGTACTCGCAATGAAATCATTTCATTGGGGCGCCTGGGTGGCTCAGATGGTTAAGCGTCTGCCTTCGGCTCAGGTCATGATCTCAGGGTCCTGGGATCGAGTCCCGCATCGGGCTCCCTGCTCCTTGGGAGCCTGTTTCTCCCTCTGCCTTTCTCTCTTGCTCTGTCTCTCATGAATAAAAAAAAAAGAAATCATTTCATTGTTTGTTGCAGCAGGAATATTTTTAGAAAAGGACTGAAATTATTCAGTTGCCTGAGTGACTTGACCATCATTGAATAAAACCCTGGCTAGGAAGCCAGACTGCTACTGGTGGTCAGCTTCGAAATTCCCCAGGAGTGTATGGATACAAAGAAACTAGAGATCCCCTCAAGAGGATTGCTTTTGTGTTCCTGGTGATGGGTAGAGGGCAGAATGGATGGTCTCTGACTATTCTCTGGGATTCAGACAATTCTCTTAAAAAGGAAAACAAAACAAATCGAAGGCATTGTTGTTCATGAAGTGCCAGAAAAGGGACTCTCACGTGGGCAGAACCTACCTTTGCTAAGCCACTGGGAACATCCTTCATGAAATGGATTACAGGCAAGCATTAGGAATGGCTCTTCTGACAGTCTTAAGGACAAAAGAAACAGAATATAGAGATAATAACATCTTGATTTTCTAGGTGAGCTCCAGGGGAGACAGAAGCAACGTTACCATGAGAGAGCAGAAGCCCATCACAAATGGGTCCCATAAAGGCAAAATTACAAGACCACAAACACACCTCATTGAAAAGGAGGTGCAGGGCGCCTGGGTGGCTCAGTCGGTTAAGCGACTGCCTTCAGCTCAGGTCATGATCCCAGGGTCCTGGGATCGAGTCCCACATCAGGCTCCCTGCTCTGCGGGAAGCCTGCTTCTCCCTCTCCCACTCCCCCTGCTTGTGTTCCCTCTCTCGCTGTGTCTCTCTCTGTCAAATAAATAAATAAAAAATCTTTAAAAAAAAAAAAGAAAAGAAAAGGAGGTGCATTTTCCTATTGTTCCAAGTATAATGTAGGGGAGGAAGGTGGAGAATAATATTCAAGGCATCTGCAAAGGAAATGAGCCTCCAAATCACCTTTTTTGGTGCGTTAGTCTGAAAGGACACCTGCCTCACTCATCAAATAAGCAGTTTTTTCAGCCTCTTTTTTTACAAGATCAAGCCCCGCTGCTCTTAGGAATGAATCAGAGGCATTACATTTACCACAAAAATAACTAATTGAAGGAAGTGATTTACCTCTTACTTATTTTATCACATTAGAAGGAGCAAAGATTCCAAGTAAGATCGAATTCTTGCCTTATTGATCACGTCTGAATGCTGACCATGTTTTTACAAAAGAAACAATGCTATGTTCTCAAATTCTCAAAATGAGTAGGCCAGAATTACTTAATCAAATCTATAGTAGGAAGTGCAGAGCTGAACAATGCACTAGCTTGTGTGTTTTGACTTCGCTGTCTCCATGGTAATGTGCACGAACAAATTGAAAAATATGAGCGATTTGTCTTTAGGGTGGAACTTGCCAAATCTTATTTAGTCTAATTAGTTTTTAAATTAATGATATTTTAGATGGATAAAATGTTTTCCCAAGAATTCTCATGCAAAAAAATGGTCGTATTTACTGACTTTGGTATAATTAAATGTTCATATTTTTAGAGTAAACCAGTTGTGGAGTGAGAATTACTAACAGTTGCATAAATTAAAGTAGTAAGCATCTCAACAAGGGCTGTGTTGGTAAGAAGCTGAAACAACCGTTAAAAAGTGAAAATTTTAGTTCACCTGATTATTTGGCATCATGGGAACCCCAATTCTTAAAAGATGGGAATATATTTTTAATTAAATATTTATCTTATTTTAAGCAAATCCTACTAGTCACGGAGGCTGTGTCCTCAGGGAATTAACTGGAACACAATGAGGGGCAAAGCCACTGGAATCAAAGGGGTGTTAAAAGTTAACACTCGGAATATCAATGTCCAAGAACTCTCAAACCTGTTCAATCTCGAATATCTAGAAACTGTCTTCGATCAATGGCCAAAGTGAGGTACGTAACCCTCTAGCTGCCGTCGTTTAAAGACCATGAGCAAAAGCGTAGAGAAGAGCTCAAGAACGCAGCTGCTGTTCTGGGGACCAAAACCACAACTGGTCCCAGGAATTGGGTGGAATATGCAGGAGGCACAGGGAACACCTTTTGCTCTGTAAGATTAATGTGAAGTTACCTAGAGTTATGGAAGAGAGGTTGGTGAAGAGTCAAAAAAGAAAAAAAAAGTGAAAAACCTGAGCTTTGAGCGCCTGCAGAGACACAGCCAGAGCCTTCTCTGCAATCGGTGTTAAGTGTCTGAACACAAGGAAGCCAACTGCATGATCCTGCGAGAAGGAGCAACAGACAGTGGGACTGGCATTATGGGAAAGGAAACAAAGCTGCCCAAAGGAGAGAGAAAAGTCCCTGAGCTTCTTGGAAGGTCTTTCACATTTTGTCAGTGAGGAAGGCTGGAGACCTCGTGGAAGAAATACTGTGTGTACTTTACTATGAACACGCGTGCCCACGCGCGCGCGCGCACACACACACACACAGAGGAGTTTGTTCTGTAGTGTACTGGCACCATTCTCAGTTAATAAAACTTCATAAGGTTCCAAATGTTAAGATTATATTGTCAAGAATACACAGCTGATCCAGGAGTCTTGGACAATTTTAATCAAGATTCTGCTACTCGGGGCGCCTGGGTGGCTCAGTCGTTAAGCGCCTGCCTTCGGCTCAGGGTCCTGGATGGAGTCCCACATTGGGCTCCCTGCTCCGCGGGGAGTCTGCTTCCCCCTTGCCCTCTGCCCCTCCCCCTGCTTGTGCTCTTTCTCTCTCTCTCTCAAATAAATAAAATCCTAAGAAAAAATGAAAAAAAAAAGAGAAGATTCTGCTACTCAAAGTAGGCAAACAAGCCACACAACCCCTGTTGGGGCACTGTGCCTGAAACAATCCTGCACTGCAGTGTATTTCCTGTCGCTCTGGGCACTGTCGCTGTGGACTCCCGTCCCGGTCAGCTCACAAACCAGGAAGCATTCGTTCAACAGTTCGACTTACCAATACATGTATCAGTAGTGTTTTCTGGACTTCAGAAAAGGCTTTTAAAATCACCATGCTAAATATAAAAACTGAAACTGTAATGCTTCCAGAGGAGAACAGAGGAATTTTTGCAACCTTGGAACCGGCAAAGTTTTCTTAAATACAAGACAGAAAGTGTTACCCATAAAAAAGTAATAAATTGGACTTCATCAAAATGAAAACGGCTCATCAAAAGATACTGTTAAAAAATAAAAAAGCAGGGCGCCTGGGTGGCTCAGTCGTTAAGCGTCTGCCTTCGGCTCAGGTCATGATCCCAGGGTCCTGGGATCGAGCCCCGCATCGGGCTCCCTGCTCCGTGGGAAGCCTGCTTCTCCCTCTCCCTCTCCCACTCCCCCTGCTTGTGTTCCCTCTCTGGCTGTCTTTCTCTCTGTCAAATAAATAAAACCTTTAAAAATAAATAAATAAAAATAAAAAAGCAAGTCACAGACTAGGAGAAGATATTTACAAATGTATGTCTCACAGAATATATAAAGAACTGATACAATCCAACAATAAAAATAAACTCAATTTTTAAAATGGGCAACCACTTCACAAAGGAAGATGTACAGATGGCCAAAATGGCCATGGAAACATAGCCAATATCATCAGTCATCAAGAACATGTAAATAAAAACCACAAATAATAGGGGCGCCTGGGTGGCTCAGTTGGTTAAGCGACTGCCTTCGGCTCAGGTCATGATCCTGGAGTCCCTGGATCGAGTCCCGCATCAGGCTCCCTGCTCGGCAGGGAGTCTGCTTCTCCCTCTGACCCTCCCCCCTCCCTTTGCTTGCTCTCTCTCATTCTCTCTCTGTCAAATAAATAAATAAATAAATCTAAAAAAAAAACCACCCCACAAATAATATATCATTTCACACCCATTAGAATAGCTAAATTTTACAAGACTGACTTTACCAAGTGTTGGTGAGGATCTGGAGCAATTGGGACTCTCATACATGCTGGTAGGCATGTAAAATGGAGTGACCACTTTAAATACAGTCCCACAATTGTAAAACTAAGTGTATGCCTACTCTCTGACCTAATAATTCTATTCCTAGATATTTACCTAAGAGAAATGAAAACAAAAAGATCTGTATAGGAATATTTATAACAGAAAATAAAAGGGGGGAGGCACCTGGCTGGCTCAGTCGGAACAGCATGTGACTCTTGGTCTCAGGGTCATGGGTTCAAGCCCCATGTTGGGTGTAGAGATTACTTAAATAAAAAAAAAAGAATATTTATAACAGCTTCATTCATAATAGCCTCGAAGTGAAAACAGCCCAGGTGTCCATAAACAGAAGAATGGCTAAACAAGTGTGTGGTATATCCATTCAAAGGAATACCACTCGGCCAAAAAAAAAAATGGAACAACTCCTTATATATGCAATATAAAGCCATTATGCTGAGTCAAAGAAGCCTTACTCCAAAGAGTACACATGAGAGGATTCCATTTATATAAAGTTCTAGAAGAGGCAAAACTAACATATGATAAAAAATCAGTGGTTGCATATGGTGAACGAAAGTGGGGATTAAGTGGGAAGAGGGAACTCTCTTGGGGGAACTTTCTGGCATGACAGGAATGTTCTGTATCTTGGTGAGAGTTTGGGTTATATTTGCCTGGATTCATCTAAAGCACACTTAAGATTGGTGCATGTCACTGTATATAAATTATATCTAAAAAATCTATAAACGAATACTGAACTCTAGTCAGTGAGATACATGCTGAAGTGTTTGAAGTAGACTGAAGTCTGCAACTGACTTTGAAATGCATCAGAAAATATGATGAATAGATGGGTGAATAGAGGAACAGATATGTGATATGGGATAAAGCAAATTAGCAAAATGCTACTTGTAGGATTTAGGGGTTAGGTACTCGGAAATGGTTGTCCATTGTACAGCTCTTTCCACTTTTTCTGTATATTTGAAATTTTTCATTAAAAAATGTTGAGAAAAAAATATATACACCTACCCTATGACCCAGCAGTTTCATTACTAGGTACTTGCCCAAAAGAAATGAAAAAAATATGTTCACACAGAGACTAATCCAAGAATATTTACAGCAGCATTCTTTGTAATAGTTCCAAACTAGGAACAACCCAGGTGTCCATCACCAGGAGTACAGGTGTCCAAATTGTGGGTGTACATATACACTGGAGTGGTACTCAGCAGCAAAAAGGAATGAACCACTAATACGTACAGCAAGATGGCTAAATCCCCAAAGCTCTACGTTGAGCCAAAGAAGTTAGAGACAAAACTCAGAAACAGGCAATCAGACAAGGACTGCCTATAAGGGGTAGGAATTGATTGGAAGGGACATGAGACAACTCTCTGGGGTGACAGAATGTTTTATATCATGATTGGGATGATGGATTTACGGATGTATACCTTGATCCAAGCTCACTGAATTGTACACTTAAGATCTGCACATTCCTGTATATAAGGTTTACCTATGGTGGGGGGAGGAGGACGGCTAGGGAAGAAAGATCCCAACTTGTAGGCAGCATTGTCTTTCTCTGTGTGACTACAGATGACAAGTTAGAGGCAATCGAGAACTCTGAATAGGAAGGGGCAGAGGTGACGGATTCCATGTCGGGAATCCAACTCTGAATAGTGGGATGGGTCTATTCTTTGAGACGTCCTGAGATAGGAAAAAAGACACTCTTAATATTTCAAGGTGTTGTAAGATGAGAGAAAATAGTAATATCTTAGTGAATTTGTGGACAATATAGATCTCAGCCCCAGCTTCAATGGTTCAGGACAGGACGAGAGCCACACTGGTACCTTTCCCCTTTGTCTTAGGAAATGTAGAGATTCAGTTCCAGTGGGAAACTAGCTGTCAGAATTGATGGATGAAAATCATTGCCCTTTAACTCTCCCCAGGCCCTCTCTCCGAGTCTATCTGATACGTAAGGCGAAAGAAGGTGGGCTAGCTGCTTTGTTTTCCAGCCCTCAGCAGGTTGGAAGCAGCAAATTAGAAATGGGGAGGAGACAGTGAAACAGCCAGAGGCCGTCACTCAGACAGCAAGTGCCAGCTCACAGCAAGCACAAAGGATGAAGTGAGGGGAGAAATATAAAAAGCCAACCTAAATACTCAAGCACACAACTGTAAGTGGGGGATCCCCGCAGCTCAATTTATTTAAATACTCCTCAGTGCACTGCAGTGTTTTACGGATCGGTCTAGAGTCTTTCTTAATGTCCTAAAAGAAGAACCAGGAATGTGATGGCATCATTATATTACACATTTTCTAAGGAGTCAGAGAATTGCTATCTTTTCTCAAATTTTTAATGCAATGCAATTAGAATAACATTTAAACATTTTTTGATTAGAGGGATAAACTCTACTTATTAAAAAAAAACCACTTCTGTAAAATACTTATTCCCTGACAACAATGAATAATACACTTTTTACTTCTTAAGATTAATGAAGGTTGACCCATCAAAATCATACAACGTTGGGTGATAATATCTTGATAAAGAAAAATAATAACACTTACCTCTGCTACCAAAGCTGAGGTCTTGAACTTTCTCTCTTTGCAGACTTCTGAGTTGGTGAAATGACATCCCTATTATTCCGTAAGGGCTTTATATATTGAGACACGTCTTGGAATGTCTTTCTTCTGAATGTCAATCATTAGATCAGACCTTGGAAAACTTTTTTAGCGGTTTTGTGAAAAGACGATCCATTTTGTGCTTTTTTTACTGAGTAGTGTGATGGAGCCTGCTCCTACCGAGTCGCGAGAGCCTACTGTGGCATCTCTTCCCAAGAGTGAGTTCAGAGACTTTACATTGTCAGCTTGAAAATGGCCACGGTGGGAGTATTTGTACCATGAAATCAACAAACACTATAAATCACAGTTATTTTCTTTTCTTTTCAGGGAGTTGGTTGTTAAACATTTACCAGCACACCACTGGTTATATCTGATGCTTTAGATATGTTGGATGGTCTTAGATTCAATTGCCACCACCTATGGCTCTTTCCTAAATAGGAAATGTAAATTGTTACAGCTGGTCAGTCCTCAGCACAATTGGCAAGGTAGGAAAGCTTGTTTTGTTACATTTTATTGGGATCCAGACAATCCAGTTGAATTATTAAATTATTTGAGCAATGGTGACAAAATAGATGGAAATGTGCTGAGTATAAAAGAGAAGAAAGTCTGTGGGTCAGTACTGTTATAAAATATGATCCTTGCTTCAAGAAATCATATCATTTGTCAGATCCTTATAGGGCTTGGAAGAAATAGACAAATAATGGAAGCAAATATTAGGCTTCATATTTAGATTAGAAGTGGATCACAAGCTTCCACAGAGACAGTTGTCTTTATCAGGGAGTGTATAAGCCCTTCTATTATCTGGATATTTGATGCTCTTGAGATAGGCAAGTTCATTTAAAGCACTCACTCTACCAGTGAGTAATATTTGTGATTGTAGGGAATTCCTAAATGTCATTGCTTATGTAAATCCAACCTGATGACTCTTATAACCTATTTGGGATTTTGAGCTTTGACGTGTGCTGACCTGTAGGCACCTATGTATTTTGACCAGGTTTTATTTCTTTGTAACAACCATGAACCAATGATGAGGGCCAGAGCTGTCATTATAGGGGGAAAATTGTTCAAATAGCTTTTTTCTTACCTCTTTAAAGCTAGAAGAGGACTATTTATATGCTTTCAAAGAGATCGATTGGCTATTCACCCCAGTCTCATATTTGATCCTGAAAAGCAACAGAGAATTTAGGATGAAAAATATCTGTTTATCTAATAAATTCTGACACTTAATGCAGTCAGTTCATCAAATTCTCCAAATAATTCCATCCAAAAACTTGAATGCACAAGTGTTAATACTGAGTGCCCGCTATAAGCAAAGCACTCTGCTGGTCATTACAGAAATATAAAAGGATGGCCGAGATATGGTTCCTGCTTTCAAGACTCTTTAATACATAGTGAAGGATAGACATTTAGCCTGTTATAGTCAATTGTTAATTTACAATTTTTTAAATACAATAAAATATTCAACTCCAAAGTTATGAACAGACTATTTCATGATCAGAAATATTTGAGAAAGTACTGGAATGTCTACTTCTTAAGGGCAGGAGCTTCTCTATCACGGTTTCAGCTGTGCCCTGTGATTATTTATCAAGTGTATTTGTCCAATGAATCTTGTTGTCCCTTTGTGTTATTTTTATAAACATCCATGATCACTGAGTCTAAAAGTTAATACCTAAAGATCGCTCAGTAGCAGGATGTCAAAAAACTACGTTATCTCCTAGTGGTCTATGCTATAAAGTTTTCTTAAAGTATTACTTTTTTTTTTTTCATTTTTCAATTTTAGTAGGACACTCAAATTTCATGTGAAGAAAAAAAGAATCAAAATGACTTGTCATCGTGCACAAAATAGCAATTCTACCTTTAAAGTGCTAATCCTATTACTTAAATGTTCTTCATTAAAATAACTTTATGCTTCCCAGGTATTAATAAATATTGAAATATATACAGGAAGAAAGAAATCTGAATTTCATATAAGTGTTTTCATAATTTGCCAACTTCCTCAAATTGGAATTTTATCAGAAAAAATAGAGAACACAGGAAAAAAACTGAAGCCAAAAAAAGGCATATTGAAATCAAGAAAAAAATTGGGTGAATCCCAAAAAAGCTCCCTGTGAATGTGCCAAAACATTTTAAAATCTCATATGAGATTTCATTTCCCCTCCGACGTGATTGATTTAACTCTAGCCCAACAAACGGAGCGGCGAACACAGGCACTAAGTCTTTAATGCCACAGTTGACCAGAAGGCAAAGCCATACCCCATTCTCAGGAAATCTTTGCTGCCCCGCTGCCCACCCTCAACACAAACCTCTACCTTCTCACTCCCACCTCCCTCCTATGCTCACCTCCCACCCCTGGCAAACCAAAACAGATTCTTTGGAGGTCAGCCATACTGGGCCATGGCTTTCTGTTCCTTAAGAACTTACAATACACGGGTGCCTGCCGACTCTTGGCTTCGCCGGGGTCCTGATCTCATGGGTCCTGGGACTGAGCAGCCTCCACGCTCAGCAGGGAGTCTGCTTGGGCTTCTTCCCTCTGCCCCGCCCCCACCCGTGCGCACGCGCACGCCCACTCTCTCAAATAAATAAATCTTCAAAAAAAAAATTTACAGTACAGTGAGGCAGTCACTTCGCCGCTCTGGGCCTCGGTTTCCTCGTTTGTAAAACAGGTGAAAATATCTGACCTTCCTGACTCACGGTTTTTCTGAGGTTCAATGTCTTGATATGTGAGAAAAAGACACACGAAAACCCTTTGCAAATGTGGTTACTGTTTATTCCAGATTATCTAATTTCCGAACACATTAAAGAAAGTTTAGGTTTATGAAACCACATGATTGCAGGGCCTTTTCCCTTGGCTATATAGGGAAGTTCCAAAATTTCCCATGTTTCACCCATTTTATTACGTTACTTCATTAAGGGCAAGGTTGAGTGGGTTAGTGGTTAGGTTATGGGACTAGGCATAATACTTCCTGCATTCTTATCTGACTTGGCCATTGTTTTGTTATTGCCTCAGGGAAAATCTTAATGCCTTAATTTGCTGTAAAAGCAAATACATATCAGGGATATTTACTTTGAAAAAGGGCTATGAGACTTTGAATGGATTCATTTGAGAGGGCTTTCTCCGTGAATCTTGTTTTTTGGAGCCAAATTATATTGTGTAATTCAAAATCAATAGAAAAAGAACTAATTTTAATTGAGTTTTACTTCGTCTTGAGCACTGTGCTTACATTCTCATTCAGTCTTTACAGGCGGCAAGGTATATAACATTATGGCCATCCTTACAGATAAGGAAGGGGAGTCTCAAGAATTTACCCAACATCACCAACTATGGGAGATAGGGCCGGGATGAAAACTCTCTCCTCTCTAATGTGAAATCCCTACTCACTTTCCTAAACCTCTGCTCCTCACAGTGTGGTCTGTGGAGAAGCAGCAAGGGAACCATCTGGATCTAGTTAGAAATGCAGAATCTCAGGCTTCACCCCTCTGGCTACTAAATGACAATCTGCGTTCTAGTAAGATTCCCACATTAAAGTTTGAGACTCCGTCGCAAGACTACCTGGCCTCTCAAAGTGACTGCTGACATAATTGCTTCTCTTCACAGCTGACCTGGTTTCTGGATGAGCCCCTAACACCCACACATACCCCCAAGCCCCCTACACCAGCTCAAGCCCAGGCAAAATTAACCACAGCTTCTCTTTAGATATGGCCCTGGTTTATTCCACCATTATAACCTCCCAGGATTGGTTCATAATTAAATGCATATATGACCTTTTTCTGTGCTATGGTATACACTCTATGAGAGCGGGCTTGGTCTTGTCCATCTCTGTATCCTGTGCCCCTGTGACTTAAATTGGGGTTGATTAAATTAATAAATTAGGTGGCACTTCTCTAGTGTCTCAAATTTTTCCCTTTGTTACCTCTTTCCCAAATGTAGCCACCACGCCTGACACTCCTCACTCTGAGAGGCTCAACTATTATCAGTTGAAAGAGCCGCTAATAAATCAAGCAGGCTGGGGCCTAACCCACCCCCTGGAGAAAGCCTACTGTTGAGGAATCTCAGTGCCAGGATGTTTTTCCTGTCTTTGCCACTAAGAAGCCTCATGACTTGGCAAGTTCTTTCAATTCCCTGAATTTCCATTTCCCATCAAATCCAGATGAAGTTTGATTTCTAAAGTACAGGGGTTTGTCACCTGTTATGATCTGCTCTTTGCATTTCCATCACCCCCAAACCTTCCAACCCCAGATCTGCTCTTTATCCAAAGCCCTAAACCAAAAGAGAGGGAAAAACAGGGAAGAAGATGAATATGTTTCATAACTGATCTTAAGCCAGAAAAGAAGGAACCTGAGGTAAAGTCATTTACTGATGAACTTTTCTTAATCATGACCATTCCCTGTTCTGGCAGCAATTAGACACTACTCCTTGAGTATGCTCCTTTGTGTTTGGTACCTGGATGTCCTCTGCAAAAGATACTGAATTGGCCAGTTGTATGGAAAACCGTGAGCAGTTGTGGAAAAATAGAGAGAGAGAGAGAGACATGAATATACCCTCAGCTCTCTATAGCAATGCTCTACTACACTGTGTCAATGACACGGTGGGGAGGCCTCTCCAATCTTTGTTATTAATAAGGGTTATAAGAAATGAAGTTTGCAAATGATTTACTCTCTCTCTCTTTAAAGTATCAGAGTGGATTCAAGTATCCCGGCCACTATCACTAATTTCTATTACCTTTGCTTTTTTGAATGAGAGAAGGAAATGGAGTTATAGAGAGTGCTGAAGGAATATCACATGACCAAGACCTTATCTCTGCCACAGCTGTGAAATCCAGACATGGCCAAAGGGTTGTGTGGTTCAGACTCATGTGAATGTCATTTCTCTTGTGTGTTCTAGGAGTAAAAGTGTTGAGACATGGTGCATTTAGGAATGTTAACATCATAGTTTTGCAGACAGAGATGTTCCTTGTGAGGTTTTCATGACCTGTTGAGGAAAGTAACATGTTTGGAACACAATCCAAGGCTGAACAAAGAGAATGTTTGGTATTTCTTTAAAATGCTTTCCAGGGGCGCCTGGGTGGCTCAGTCGTTAAGCGTCTGCCTTCGGCTCAGGTCATGATCCCAGGGTCCTGGGATCGAGCCCCGCATCGGGCTCCCTGCTCAGCCAGGAGCCTGCTTCTCCCTCTCCCACTCCCCCTGCTTGTGTTCCCTCTCTCGCTGTGTCTCTCTCTGTCAAATAAATAAATAAAATCTTTAAAAAATAAAATAAAATAAAATAAAATAAAATAAAATAAAATAAAATGCTTTCCAACAGGGACACGTGGGTGGCTCAGTTGGTTAAGCATCTGCCTTTGGCTCAGGTCATGATCCCAGGGTCCTGATCAGTGGGGAGCCTGCTTCTCCATCTCCTCTGCCCCTCTCCCTTGCTTGTGCTTTCTCTTGCTCTCTCTCTCTCTCTCTCAAATAAATAAATAAAATCTTTTAAAAAATAAAATAAAATGCTTTCCATTGGTAAAAGAAGATTTGGTAGTTATGGTTTCTCCCACTACCATTAGGAACAGTGGCTTTTAAATTATTTTGACTGTGACATACAATGAGAAATACATTGTCCAAAGTAACCATGGAATATGTGTATTATATAGAGAGAGGTTTATATATAATTATATATTTATATATCCATATGTAATGATTTATATATGAGTGTATATAGAGATGAAACTTAAGTTTCACAAAACCGTGCTTACATTACTGTGTTAATAATATTTTTTATTCTATTTCAGTTTCTAAAAAATGCTGAATGCAATCCACTAAATTGATTTCATGACCATTAATGGATTGCAGCTCCTAGCTTGATGATATTGCTTCAGAGATAGCCTACTTGTATGGTCGTGAACAGTTGCTTACTGCCAATTAGCTGAAAATGATTGATCTAGTGTCCTAGATTGTTCATGTCTAGTGTTCACAGATATGGGCTAGAGTTCTGGACAACTGACCATGACAGCTGCCTTAGCACTAGATGACTGGTTTGACCATGATTAAATAAAAACACAGCTTTACATTTAGTGGAACTCAATACCTTCTACAAAACATTTAGCCAAGTAGCTGTTGTTAAGGCAGTCAGATATGTTGTCCTACTTTATCCCAAATTTATAAACCACTACACTACTGTGTTGATCAA